CATCTTCATCATCTCGACCATCCCTCAAAGGCAAGGCCCCTCAAAGACGGCCTTGGTGCTGTATAGGGTATAGCTCCCTTATATCCCCCTCACTCCTACACTCCCACCTAGGTTGCCTTGCGACGGGCGGCCGAGGTGGGAGGTGAAAGGTGGGTAGGAGCAGTGTTACACACAAGCCAAATCAAATCAATTCGGGGGTCTGACTCGATTTGATTTGACTATTTTGAGGGTTGACTTGCTTGTTGAGGAGGCGAACTTGATTTGACTCGTTGAACTCGCATAATCGGACTACCCTAAGAAACCTTAACACTTTGCCCTGGCAACCGACTGTCTATATAAAATGACAACGAAATTTTTCTAAAGTTTTGGTTATTTACGACGCATACGAGCTCTAGCGACTATACGAAATTTGTACACGTATATATACCCGAATATTCTATAGTAATTTGTACTCAAAATCCCGGGATTGTATGTTTCTGAAAAAAATCTATGGTCTGACGAAATAACCGAGTCAACCGAGTCGAGTCGCCTTCTGGGCTTGATTTGAATTGAATTAGAAATTCGTCGACTTGATTTGACTGTTAAATGGCCGACTTGATTTGACTTAGTCTCGACTTGGCTTGTGTGTAACACTGGGTAGGAGTAGGACTACCTATACACCACTATACACTGCAGTATCACACGAGGTTGTATCCGGTTTGCGGGCTCAAGTGCTACTATGCACGTCCAATAATCATCACAGGGCCTTGCGCTGCCGCCGAGAAGCGCGGGTGGGGGAAGACCAAGTTGGTGTGTTCGATGAAGGTCCGATATGAAGACCGGTGAAGGTATCGTCACTTTCATGTCTGAGCGAGCAGATCCTCGATGGTATAGATGTGGGCATATTCTACAGCCCTTCCTCGGCTATACACGACCAACAAGTTGGCGCTATAGTCTCCCTGCTATAAGGCGTAGGCCATTTCCCGCCCATCTTCAAAACACAAAGCATTTCCTCCGTATGACCACACGCACACATTCCCATCTTCTCGGCTCGTGTGCGTCGTTACAAGGCCATGTTCTATCTTGGCGTTTTTGCATCATGTGCGATTGGGTCTTTTGGCGCGTGCCTTGCCTGGACTGTCACCAAAAGGTCACTCCCCAATTTCCCGCTCTTCAGTTCCTACCCAGCTACGAATACGTTGTTCCGGGCACCTATTGAGAAGTCAGAGGGGAAGGGGACCTGAAATGAGGCAAGGTGACATAGCAGAATGTGCTATTCTTCCTGGCAGACATAACCTGGCAGCCCTCCCACCTCTCCTCCCCTCCCCTTCCCACCTTCAAAATTCAAGGCAACTAATCAATGTGCGGGTTCCGATAAATATGATGGGGGAACGCAGGGTTGCTTCCCGGTACAAATGCCTGAAACCGGTGGGAGATAATGCATCCGATTCCCCTTTTTGAGATAGAGAGCGAATCCCACCATCCCTCTCTACCTTGGTTCAAGCTTCCAGCTCTACACCAACACTCGTCACAGGCTTGCCGTACGACAATCTATATTCCACAAAACTACGTACCTCAACCCTGTCATGAATTCCACGGGGGCAGCCGTGTAACCGCCACTCCTCATTAGCCATGCTGACCAATTCTGTCCGGAATCGAAGCCTGTTGGTCAAAGTTACCATCATGACCAGGCATTGTGGCACGTACAAATTCCATTCTCAGTGCGGGCCCGCCGGTGTCTATTGTCAGCGTTGAAGCGATGGAAGCGCTGTGGTGTTCAACCTTTCCTTGCATCTTGCTATGTCCGATATACAATAGACTGGCTATGACTGGGACTACTAAAATCAGGAAGACGACCCTCACCCTACGTCGAGGCATATGTGCTCGGAGATCTGCCTGGAATATCCAACATGATTCCGTCATCACACTCCGGAAATCCTACTGCACGGAGTACGCCGATCGACCGACTAGTAGGCGATAGTCCATCGCCGGGCGGTCCCTGAGAGAAGCCATCCATGCGTTGCCGATGAATGGCATGGCGAGCGAGGATGACGCCGCCTACTTAGGTAGTGTGCCAGGTACCCCAGCATCCCGCTTCTAGGCTGAAACAGACAGACTTTCTGATTGAATACCGAACGAAACGACAGCAAAAGATCTTTTTTCCCTTTCCCTTTCCTTGGAAGGAAAGAAAGAAAGAAGACGAATCATCAAACTCCATTTTTCACCTTCCTTGCTTTGATCGGCCCTGCCATCGCAATGATGGGGAAGGGGATTGGTTATTGGTTACTATCCGTCGTCTCTCGGGTCGGCATGCTATTTACCGAGCAATTGTCTCTCTTTTCTGTGTGTAAAATTGTACTGTGTGCCATGGTCAAAATCCCCCAATATCTGCCTTTGCCTTCTCCTTTGCCGCTGCGTTCCGACTGGCAAAAAAAGTGTGATGCGCTTGTGTTGAGCCATGCTCCATGCCATTCCATGTGATGGGATGGGCTGAAACTACCTATGTCATCAAATGTGATTGCGCACTATGTCAGCTGCAGCCTGGCAAGCTCCGAGGTTCATCCATGGGAACACTTTCTACTATTCTCCAACATTCCTGTTGTTCTTCTACGGCGGAAAACTCGGATAGCAGATATAGTATTGGACTTTTTCCATGCCTAAGTTAACTACTAGTAGTAAGCCTAGGCCGAAGAAGAAGAAAGGGGTCCAGTGCCGCATGACAACCACCACCACCAACCAACACCCCACACACCTCTGTCCCTCTGGGGGAGAACAAGAAAAGGCTGACCTGGCTGGCTGACGAGTCGGCTAGAAGGAAGCATGGTAAGTCCCGACCGGACAACATAGTTACATCTGATCCTTTCCCTGTCACAAATGTATCGAGTCTGGAGATCAGGAAGATCCGCTATAAGCCGCACACTGATACACACACATGCTCAAGGTTGTGAAGCAGTAAGAAGCTTACAATCAGTGAAGAGTGATCTATCTCAAAGGGAAGTGAAAGTGAGTGAGACGGGTGAGCGGGCGGGGGCGGGTGAGCGTGGTATCAGCGTTCTCCCTCTAACCTTGTCCCGGACATACCTTACTATATCACAGGTAGGTAGACACCTGCACATACCGGCACCCCTTTACTTCCCTCCTTCACGATGTACACTAGTTCCCCTTCCAATAACCCCCCACTACACACACACTCTCTCTCTAACTCATACTCACTAACCCTTCACCAACCCTTCACCAACCCTCCACACACCACTCACTACACAACCACTCATCACCTCGTTCACCCACCCACTCACGATTCTTCAACACTGTCTCAGATGTGCTGACCCATTCATTCCCTCCATACCATACCCTCGGCTTTTTGCGACCTGCATAGCCGTTCACATTTTGTGACGGATGACTTACGGGTGACAGGGTGACGGGGTGACGGGTTGCTACTAGACTAGTGTAGACTACCTAGTGTGATTACCAATGCCCTGGAAGAAACGGCGTTGGGAATGCCACACTTATTTGAAAAGCATAGGTAGAACTGTGAGCTTGACGACATGGAGTTCTCACCTCTAATCTGGGGGTTGGCGGGGTTGATGGTGGTTTTGGCTTTTATATATCCCCGGGGAAGGAACAGTTCGTTAAAGACACTTTCAAGTTCGAACTGTGTTTTGTACGAGGGGGCAGGAGGCAGGGGCGACCGAGGACATTGACTGCTCGCTCTACCTTCCCCATTGCTCTCCGTTGCTCCTTCTTGTATACCCTCCGACAGACAGTCTGGGAAGGAATTCCACAGAACGCGGCATACGAAGCTTCATTAGAGGTACCTTGCCTTTTGCTAACCAGCCTCTACTTATTAACCACCACAGATGGAGTCGTGATTTGCTTTGCACAGTGGAGAAAGGAGGTGTTAGATGTCTGCCTCTACCTATCTGCCTACATACCTAGGTAGTGTACCTATCGATGACAACCCAGTGGTGAGACTTCGATACCAAGTGCTGTGGAATAAAGCTAGCGACTACATCATCTCTGTCTATGTAAGGTATATGTTCATGTTCCTTTTCACTCCACCCTTACCACTCCGGACCCTCCCAAATTCCAGTCCTCCTAAGCCGATTCAACCCTCTCTTAACACAACATTTTCCTCTACGATACCTATAGATAACTCAACCCGCCCTCGCTTCGAAGAAGAAGAACAAAAAAAGCCACCAAAGCGGGGTCATCGGGAGTCGCCTCCGACCGACCGACGTTGCTCCGCCTGCCTACCTAATCAAGTGGAATCCTCTTTGTGCTACACGAACCTGCAGACGGAGGTTCACAAGGAACATTCGTTCGTCGGGCGGGCAGGCACGACTGAACTATGTGTGGAGGTACGCAGTCAGTGGAGAAGGAACGTACCTAGCCGTGGGGGGTACCAAGTTTCTTCAGGAGGGGAGTCAACTTAAGGTGGTTAAGTGAACTACATCTAGATAGAAGGTGGTCGTAGTTCTGTCTTTCACTCTGTTGGACTCTGTTGGGACTATACTCTGCTGAGATTGGAAAAAAGAGATTACCTCTACGTATCTGCTGTACCTGCCTCCAATCCTCAAAATTAGACGCGTTATCTTCCGTCTTCGTCGATTACTTCATCCATGTGCATCCATCCCATTGGCGCGCAAAAAGCTTCACCGGCTCATGCGAACTGCGACCAACCAGACTCTCTCACTCGGACACAGGGGAAAGGAAACCAACAGGAGGGAGGCACGGGAATATGTAGTTGGTTGAGCCCGATCGAGATACCTGCGTGAAGGAGAAATCACATGTCATATGCGGTTCGTTCTGAGTTTGTTCAGATCCAGTCCTGAAGGGGTGGTGGGTTGGGAGAGTTCTAGAGTTTGGCTACAGGTACCTTAATCAGGTAGTTGGAAAAATGTGAAAGATAAAGACGAGGGATGTCATTCGGACTGCCTCACGGGTTGAGGCTTCATGTAGAGTTATTAGAAATAGAAAAATGAGATAAACGCGTACACTAGGTTTGGTAGGTGACTGCTTTCTCTGAGACTTAAATGGCTCGAGATTCCTGTCACAGGACCAGTGTTTCACAGTCTCTTCTCTTCATCATCAATGTCTATCTATCATGGCCGATTATGAGGAATGCAAAGAATAGATTCAGCAGTTCATTAGTCGTTAGATGTATCCAAGCGAAAAACTTACCTACGCTCAAGCCCAATTCTCAACATCCCCACCACCAGCCCAATCCATCGTCATCGCAGCCCAGAGATCATTATACCCCATTCCCATATCCATTCCCATGTTCATACCACCTATCCCCGACCCCATCGTTGGCATTCCCACCGGCACACCAGCACCACCACCACTCCCCTCCCCTGACATATGTTCTCCACTTGCAACACCATTCCTTGTCGTGTCAGCGCTCCCACTGCCAACACTGCCAAGACTATTCGCACTCGGACTACCCCCAGACCCAGTTAATGATGTAGAGTTGAAAGCAAACGTCTCATCCCAATAGGGATAATAAGGTTCCAAACTGCCGTCCATCATTGGACACCCCGATATGTTTGTTGAGGGGATGTGCAGGGTGGGTATGGGTGCTGCTTGCGAGATGTCTACCTCGAGAGGGAGCATGGAGAGGTCCATGTGGATGTCTAGGACTTCTTGTTGACTTTGGGGATGCTGGTGGTGCTGGTGGTGGTTCTTGGTGGTGGTGAAGTCTGTTGGTGATGTTGGGGTTTGGAGGTGTTGGGTTTGGTGCTGGTGATGATGATGATGGGGTGGTGGTGGTTGTTGAGGTTGTAAGTGATGTTGCTCCCCCAGATGATCATGAGGATTATCCCCCCCCTCACCAACCGCCTTCCCAGTAACAGGACAAACACCCACACCCACACCAACACCAACACCACCCATCCTCGTATCCTTATCCTTCTTCCCTCTACCCAAACCCGCCCCCTCCAACTTCGCAACTCGATTCCTAAACTTCCTCCTCACCACCGCAAACACAACCTTACTAGCACTCAACACATCCATCCCCTTAGTCGTCGGCATCGTCGCCGGCGTCAGGTTACTCCTATCTTTGTCCGTCTCTTCAGAGGTAGACGAGGTAGAAGTAGTACCCAACCGACACAACCTCTCCAAAAACCCCTCAAACCTGACCACCCTCCTCGCCGCATAGTCATCCCACTCCGGACAAAACATGATCGGAAAACTCATGCGAAACCCCAAAATGGTACTCAAAATCAGACAGCCCCAGCCGATCATGGAGAAGGCGTTGATCTCGTGTGCTGACAGCGACAGAAAGTACTCGTAGTTTTGGTGTAAGGTGGGGATCAGACCCAGAAGACGGTTGGGGTCTACGCGGAAGGAAGGTGGGTTTCCTTTCTCCAGGCCGGGGAGCTTGACGAAGGGGAGTTTGAGGAGGGGCGCGCCGGTGAGGAAGAGGCGGGTGAAGAGGGTTGTTATGCGGATTGAGGCTAGCATTAGTAGGGTGGATGTTAGTTATGAAGGCAGTGAATGGTTGGAAAAAAAGGGAAGGGAAGGGAAGGGAAGGGAAAACGTAACGTACGTATTGATTGAAGATCGGGAGGCATCTTGGCTTCCCATTCGTTTAGTTGGGCTTCCATGCCTTTGATGATCATCTCGATCTGGCTCTCGGTTTGTTGTGGTAGACCACCTCTTTGGGATTTACGCAGATCGTTCGTCTCTTCGCAGAGCCGTTGGAGGCGGACTAGCCAGGGGAGAATGCGGTCGCCCTTGGTTATGCTGTACTTCTCGAGGATGTCGCAGCATTTGGCGGTATAGCTGGTGAAGGACATGGAGGGTGTGCGGTTCCATGTTGTTGCGAAGCTATTGTGTGTTAGTTCAACTGTGGAACGAGATTCAGTGAATGAGACTTACTTTGACGCAACATAATACGTAGCCAGATAAGTCCTGATCTCCTCCAGTCTCTGCGGACTAGGACGTCTCGGACCACAGAGCTCATCAACACCGGGATCCACATCCAGCTCAAGATCATTAGCTATATCGACCGCCATCCGCACATACTGAAACGCCTGTCTGTTCTTCGGTCGGAGATGGAAGGGATACCTAGACAACAAAGTCACTCATTAGTCACCATCACCCTTTCCCCTGTCTAAACACCATCACCATGTAGAGTGTAGACAAAAACTCACCAAGCAACATAAACCGCCAGCCCCTGCAACAGCTCCAGACTCCTCTCACCACCCGCCACAAACTTCAGCCCCAAAATCTTCCTAAACTCCTCATCATACAGACTATGACCCTGCAACGTCCTTGTGCTGCTCGCCACCGCCAACACAGCCAGCAGCACAAACGGCCTCTCCCTTGCAAGGGACGCCACCGTCGCTTCTTCTAGTTCTACTTTCCCCTCCACCTCAGTCTCGTCATTGCAGACAACATGATCAACCAACACACAAGGAAAATGCCAAACCATGACTTTCCTAAAGATATCCAAGAGCCGCGAGGCGGAGTCGACGTTGAATTGTGGTTGTACTGAGAGGGAGGCGAGGGATCGGCTGCTTCCTCCTGGTCCTGGTCCTGGTCCCGGGGCTCTGGTGTTTCCGTTCCCGTTTCCAGTCCTCGACCCAACGCCAACGCCAACGCCAACTCCAGACGCAGACGCAGACGCAGACGCAGACGCAGACGCAGACGCAGACGCAGACGCAGAACTACTCCCCGGCGTAGCAGCCGACGCTCCAACCGGTAACGAACTAGCATGGCTCGCATGGCTTGCATGACTAGAGATTACCGACCCTCCTGGCTCACCGTCGGATCCATAATCGTACTCGTAGCCATAGGTACCGTCGTCCTCGGAATCCATCCCGTCGCCGCCGAGACTGGGACAAATGCGATCCACGTAGCCTTCGTGATCGAGACGGAGAGACTCCAAGCTGATGGCTACGTCGACGGAGGCGGTGGGGATGGGGACGTCGATGGTGAAGGTGCGGGAAGGGCCGGGGGGTGGGCCGGGGAGGGGAGATTGGACGGAGTAGGGGTTTGTGGTGGTTGTGGTGGTTGTGGCTGTTGTTGATGTTGATGTTTTGGGGTTGGTATTGGTGGTGGTTGTTGTGGAGTTTTGGTCGGCGGTTCTGGATGGGGGAAAGGAGAGTGTAAGTGGGTGGAGATTTTTGGGAGATGTTGAAGGAATTCGAGGAAAGGTTGGATATGATTGTTGAATCTTTGAGAAGCTGGTATTATGAGTTTGAAACGGTGAAGTTATAAAAAAGAAAAAAAAATACTGAACTTACACCCTCAACCCTCTAGGCCGTCTTTTTCTGGGACCAGTCTTGAAGATACACTCTCGTTTAGAAGCTAAGCATCTGAAACAACAACCCGATGAAGTCCAGCAGTTAGCGGCCGTTGAAACTGAGAGATTGGTTGAAACCAGTCTAAAGAAAATAAAAGAACGGACAGCAATGTACGCCGTCAAATAACTTTCATCAAAAACAAACCAACCTTTTACATATCCCAACTTGACTGCTCCCCTGACACTTGACCTTAGCAAACCTGCAAGCCTCACAAGCGTTGGCGACACGGGACCGAAGCGGAGCCTTTTCTTTTTGTTGCTGTTGTTCCATGCTTTCAATTCCGGTGGGTGTCGAAAACTGATAGATAGTGTAGTTCCTGTTTGAAACAAGCAAGTAAGGTAGAGAGAGGTAAGTTCCTCGATGGTTCGGGTCTAGTTTGTTGGTGGTCGGGTCGGGTGAGCCAACTGAAGTGGCGCAGAGATATTATTGTTGGTGGAGAGACGTCCTAACTTCCGGAGTCTCTCGGCGTTAAAGTGAGCTCTTGGTGTGGTAACAATGGTTTTGTGGTATCGTTGACATGGCGGGGCCCAATGAATCCTCCTGGCAGGTACTCTTTCAGTTCGTGTGCTCCGTGTTATGTCGCAATGTGCCGAGTCCGAGGAACACGGGGGCGGGTCCGGTGGATGTGGAGGATTGTGGAGGAGGTGAAAAAGGAGGAGACAAGGAGAACCCGGCTTCTTAGCTCCGAAGGGGCACGGAGGTTAAATGTGGAGATGAGGATTTGTGGGGGAGACACGAAAGTTGATGGAGACGGTGGGAATGATTGACCATTGAGATTCTGTGATCATCATGGGTACGAGCTGTTCTAGCCTTTTCAGTGATTTCTGGACCCCTCTGTCGGACCCCTCCGGACCCTTGGGAGACCCCTTTTTCAGCCTCTCCACGTCAACAACTTGGCTCCCGCCTTGGCATATGGCACCGCCCTGATCATCAGTGGAGTCAACACAGCCCTACAGGGCGGTGATGGTGTCATCATTCAACAGGTTTCTCAACATCAACCACTGCTGTTGTTTGGATCTCGAGGTGGTTTCACTAAATATTAACGAATAAAAGGCATGTCGCCATCGGCTTTTTACGGCGGTGAGCTCAACTGTATAAGCGCCTAGCCCGATCGTACACCCAACTACACTACACTACCTCTACACTTCCCCGCCCGGACGTGCCATTAAAGTAACTTAAGTCCGGAAGCTCATGCTCATCCAGTCGCCATGTCCGTCAAACCATTGGGTATCCTTTCCGACACACCTTGCCATCATAAACCATGCTCGCAAGAACCACGCTCGCGAGACAAAGAGAAAAAGAAAAAGGCCTGGCATGGCCAATGAAGTCATCACGATGATCCCATCCCATCGCAGCCGCTTTATGACATTCATCATCAACACAAATCAGCCACTCAACAAGCCGTCTCCTCAGCACACCTCACCAGCTCGCAAAGCGTCCTCAACAAGAACGGATCCAGCGCCACCGTCTCCTTCGGCGACAGCGCCTCGCCCTCCACCATACCCTCTCCAGTAGTAAGCTTCAGCGTCGTAACCAAACGGGCGATGCATCTCGCTAAACCAGCATGAATATCCCTTAGGGCAGCCAAGTCGCACCCAGCAGCATTGCTACCGCCGCTGCTGCTGGTCGACAACTTAGGCACACCACCCTTTTCGCTGTCTCTGGTGAAGGGACGGCTAAAGCCTCCGTCTCTGGGAGAGTAGAACGCACCGGAGGAGAAATTTGCTGCTTCATCGTTCATGCCGAGGATGCTCTCTGCCTTTCTGGGGATGCGGCGCACGTTGTCTTCGTCCGAGCGGCGCGTCGGGCTGGAAGGGTTGCGTTGGACGCTGTTGGTTTCTTTGGGAACGTGCGATGATGTGCCGGGTAGAGGAGGGCAGAGGGTACCGATGTAGTTGTAGGCGATTAGGTGCGCGTAGAGGGCGTCACAGAGGTGATCGGTGCCGGTGGGGAAGATATTCTTGATGGGTGCCCAGTCTGGGACACCAGAGGGTTTGCTGGCTCTCGGCTCGGGAGAGGTGTTTCCGGTCAAGTCGTGGGCGTAACTTGCGAATCTTTTGTTGTTGCGCCGGCTTTGCATTAGGTTGGGGAGATTCCAGCGCTTGCGCGACTTGGTGCTTAGGTTGGAGAAGGTGAAGACCGACTCGTTGTCGTCGTCGTCGACACTGTTGCCGGGCTTTCTGACCTGGTGTTTGAGCTTCCTGGAATACGTCCGTATCGTCTCGATGGACAGGCTGGAGGTGAGCAGCGTGGTTTCCGGAAAACACGAGGTCGAGATGCGCAGAGTGTTCAACAGTTCCACGGGCAAGGGAACGCCGGCCACAGGACTGTTTGGAACGAAGCTAGGAGCACGAACACGACCGACTGCTGGCTCCGTATGCGATCGAATCCAATCTTGAAGGTGTCCAGTCGACGTCTTCACGCTCAACTTCGAGCGTAGATCTTGGACGTTGTCCCCGGACGGCCGTTCATCTCTCACACTTTCCTTCCTGGCTACTCCAACCTCAGTAGGCAACGTCTGCGAGTGTGGAACATTTTTCTTCATATATAGCTCAAGCGACGGCCTTTTAGAGGCATCGATGATCGTCCTGCCTCCGGGTGTCGAAAGCACTGGCAACGTCGGGGATGGGAGCAGCGTTATGCCCCTAGCCTGGACATCGCTGTTCTGAAAACTGTCCGCATCGCTGGCGGGCCCTTCCTGTTGACAGAATGCAGGTAGAGCTGGGGGTTTCTGAAGATGAAGTCTTCTGAGTGATGACTTCCTTTTGGGCACAACTGGCGGATGGATGTCGATTATGCGAGGCTTTCCTATGCAAGACTGTCCAGAAGATGTGCGCGGACGATCGCCGTCCTCAGTCAAGTGGATTGGCAATGCCATCGGGACCGCATTCGGGAACGGCGTCCTCGGCGAACTTGGAGAGGATAGCACGGTCTTGCCGAGAATTGTGTCGTTGAATCCAAGGGCTGTTTGCGGCCGAGGGGGAACATAGCGGTCGTTGACCATTTCGGGCTCTTCTGATCCGGACATCAGGTCTGGCTCATCATCGAACCACGTTCCTTGCCGGTTTGCAGTCGGCTTCGACGAAGTGGAAGAGGGGGAGTGGGGCTTGCTGGAAAATGGCGAAGAACTGCGGCCGGAAATCGAGGTGGTAGTTGTGACCACTGATTGCTGGCGGGTTCTGATTGAAGGTGGCATTATCTCTACGGATGAATCACTGGAGGTGTCAGAAGAGTCGTCCGCGGCCCCAAATTGCTCATGGTACCCGGGCATGCCTGCCGCCAATCTGCGCTCCGTGCCCTCGTGAAGGGATTGCCGGGCACTCTGTGGGGCCACAGATTTGTAATGGGATGAGGTACGAGAGGAGGTTCGGCGGTGGTGGTGGTTTGGTCCCTGCCCTTGGTTTGTCATTTGGTCTGATGTCCGATATGGATAGTCCTCATCCACGTGGGTCGCTGCTGCAAGACCTTGGCATGGGTAACCCGCGGTCATAGACTTTGTGTTGAAGAATACCTCGGATTCCTCCAAGCTCTGGATGAGGAGCTCGGGGAAGTTGAAGCCTTTGAACTGCGTCTCAATCTCCATTTTGATTGCTGGGCCGGGGAAAGAACTCGAAAAGGGTTTGGTGGCGGGCTGCCCTGACGACACCGGACGAAAAGAACCTTGAAACGGACCGGACGTCAACCGGGGCTGGCCAACGTGTGAAGGGAAGAAGCAGAAGTCTAGCTGCCACCTGAAGCCGCCAACTTGTCGATGCAGGATGCAGGAGGTCGCAGGAAGGACGCAGGACGAGCAACTCGTGGTCAAGTCAGATCGTCGTTGGGGTTAAGTGAAGTGGTCATGGATCCCTGCGCTGATCGCCTGTTGATATGATGCCGGGGCATATCCCTGCCACGGCGAAGGGAGCTTGCCTCGTACAAGAGCGCGTACGGTGTTGGACGGTATGGACGTGAATGGGAGACGGTGATTAGTGTGACGGTGAAACCGGGTTCTAGCAGAAATGCCGATACACCAAGTCTGCCGTGTAATGTTTTGGAACAGTCCTTCCAATCCCGCCTCGTAACAGCGAAACAAGCTAGACAGTGGCCTACCAGACACAGTTAGAAAATGTAGCGACTGACTGGTCAAGAAGGGTCAGGGTGAACAGTCGCGAACCAAGCGGATATCACGTTATAAGGCGGTCGTTTTTCCTTTGGGGAAGACCGCAAGTGACGAACGTCATGCGGAAAGAATGTTTGGGTAGCGAGCAGCATGGATCATGATGGTGGACTTACAATATATAACGTTATGTTTTATGTGGTGATACCCGGCGCTGTCAAAACAGTTGAGCCGACAGGGCGTAGCAGACCAAGTGAGACACTGGATGGAATGGCGCCCTTGGTTCCCAACACGCGAGGGATCGAGAAGGTCTCTAGAGCCGAGACAGTGATATAGATGACGGAGACACTGCGTGTGCCCTGAGAGCGTGGACACGAGGTTGCTGTTATATGGAACCTTGATGGAGGAGCTTTTGCCGCCTTACGGCCATTGAAAACAAAAACAAGAAACGTTTCCCTTTTGTCGTGGCTTGTCTTGTCCGCAGCGACATATCGAGGCCAGCAAGCTGGGCAGGAAAAAGAAAGGAAATAGTGGCCAACATTTTGGAGGCGTAGCTAGGCGTACTGTGAAGGTCGAGATGCAGGGGCGAGATAGTAGCACGAATCGGCATCCAGCGCACCTCGACGAACTCTTGCGCGAGTTTCCTTCCACTTGGCCGTCGGCGGCAGACATGAAAAGTTATCAACCACGGACGGATAGACACAGATACAGCGTCTTGGGTACCCGTCAGTTCAACCAAGCCATCCATATCGCCCCAGCATAGGTGTCGCCGAGGGAAATTCAAGGGTGAAGCCGCCATTTCCCGATCAATATTTCGTGTTCACCGTGACATGGTGGCATGTTCCTGGCCTTTTCCTATGCGGATGTCTTGACCCCTTCAGACTTGACGGTGAGTGAAGTTGGTGGGTGGAGGCGGTTCGCAAAGAGCCACGAGCCATGTGCGTCAGTCAACAGAAATCAGATATTTTCTTGCCCTTATCCCACCGGTTTGCGAGTATCGACCAATGGAGAAGAGATCGCCAAGAAAAAGGAATGTTGAGAGAGAGGGGAAAGGGTCTGGAGTGATGACAGACGCAGCGAAAAAAAAAGTAAGAGGATTGAGGGGAAATGTTAGCCCGGTGATTGCCCATTGTTGGTCCCAACCCAATTGCTCACAAATCGCAGACAATCAACACCGAGACTTGCGCAAGGAGAAAAAAAAACAAGGGAGAAACAATGGGATCTCGTGATGGATATGATATTTATTGCGGCTGAGAAGTTGAAGGTAGGATACCGGTAGATAAAGTAGATTGATGCACTTTTAGAACAGGGTAGGTAACAAAGGCAGGGTGACAACCCGAACAACGGATGATGGACGATGGATGATGAGTGGCAGGGGGTAATTTTGCGGGAGACAGAGTGACAGAGTCGCATCGGGGTCCAAGCTCCCACGAGCCACCCTGCCCTGGCCCGTTCTCGCTCCAATGCTTGGCGGTCTTGGCGTTCTCAACTCCATCAACGTGCATACCGTACGCCGTCATTACAAAAATTAAAATTTCATGAGAATCTCACAAGGTCTTGACAACACCATTGGCCCTTCAGCATATCTTTTCTTTTCCAAGACCTGCAGGATCCTGAAGCTGCCCTTCGGAATCGCTTGCATCAGATTAACCAGCCAACACCCCGTTTGGAATCCGCATCTTTTCCACCGGCGGGAGGACGGTAACATCAAATTTTGTGTTGTACCAATCACTGCACACGACATCCACCAAAAAAAGACAGAAGAGGAAACACACCTTTCATCAACCTGCATTTCCGTCAGGCTTCACAGCACATCTCTGCACTTACAGCAAAGGTCACGCGTCTGCCACGCCTGTCGCATTCCGCGGCTGCTTCCAAGAATCCGAAAAGAGTCTGAAAAGTCCAGATCGGGGCAGGGTCCTGATTCACGGAAGAAGAGTGAAGAGAGGAAAGAGATAAGCAAGCCACATAAATCAGCCTTTCAAGAAAAAAGGAAAATGCTATCGGAAGAATTCGTCTCAGCCATCTGCGGTGCTCCTCTGAGCTCCAACACGTCCATCGTCAAGGACGTGGGAATCTACGGCCACACTCTGAGCCCTACCTACTCTGTCAAATACAACTTCAAGAAGAGCTCGGCGCCGGTAAACTGCGTTGCCGTCAGCGACACACATGTCTACGCTGCTCAAGAGAACAAAGCCTATGTCCACGTTTACTCGAGGATACGCGGGAACCAGGAGGCCTTTGTGGCCTTCCCCGAGAGAATCCGGTGCTTGACCTTGGCTGGTGACGTCCTTATTTTGGGCACAGCAGAAGGTCGGCTCATGCTTTGGGAGGTAAGCTCATGTCACAAAAAGAAACAGATGTGTTCTTGAGACACGCCCAGTCTCTCCTTTCTTCAATTTTGATCCTTCCAACCAAGACACTAATATATATCCCTTACTCACCAGACATCCACCGGTCGCCTAGTATCAACCCCAGCGCGCCACGTCCAAGCAGTCTCCTGCGTAGTCGCCACGCCCTTCCACGTCTTGACGGGATCCGACGACTCAGACATCCACGTGTGGTCCCTCTCTTCACTGCTCGAGCTCACCCCTTCCTCCGCCGAACACGAGCCAGAGCGCAGTCTCTCCAACCACCGCGCCGCCATCACCGCCCTCTCCGTCAACGCCTCCGTTTCCTACGACACCAACCTTGCCGTCTCCGCCAGCAAAGACAAGTCCTGCATCATCTGGAACTACCAAACGGGCGACGCGCTGCGCACCCTCTTGTTCCCCAGCTTCCCCCTGTGCATGTCGCTGGACCCGGCCGCGCGCGCCATCATCGTCGGGTGCGAGGACTCGTCGCTTTACATGGCCGAGTTCTTCAAGGGGGGCGACAGCAAGGCTCTTTTGGGCGCGCAGTCCGAGGACGCGGCGACGGTGATGCAGATTTCTCAACCCTTCGGTGCCACCCAGCCTGGCGCTGGTCCGGCGTCTTGCTTGGCGTTTAGCTACGACGGCACGACGCTCCTGACGGGCCACCCCAAGGGCCAGATCATGAAGTGGGACGTGGTGGATAACAAGGCGCCGGTGGAGCTGACGAACCTTAATGCTGCCGTGACGAATTTGGTATTTGTCTCGCCCTTTGAGGCGAAGGCGGGGAACAACAAGGCGACCAAGACATCGACCATTGTGAAGCCGAATCAGGCGGAGCGCGCTTATACGGTTACGACCCAGCTTGAGGCTGATTTGAGGAGCCAGACGAGGGTTGACGAGTTGGTGAACTCGACTGGTTTCAGTCAGCAGGCTTTGGAGAACGCTATTGCGGCATTCCAGGAGGCCTTGGCGGAGAAGGAGTCTGAGAAGAAGGAATGAATGGGGTTTGGGAGTGGATCAGTTGGTGAAGAAATCTCTCCGATGAGAGACATTAGAGCACGTTGAGAGTAATCTCGCGGACGTGCATGGCTGATCGAGATCGTTTCCTGACCTGGCCTGGGACATGGTCAATTCATAAGGGGAAAATGAGAAGTTGACATGGTCAGGGTGAGTTCGCCATGTCCGTACATAGATAACTAGAACATTCTGTATATGTCGCAGATACCCCTGAATATAAATATCGAAATCAAAAGGCGCCGACTGTTATACCAGCTGAGTCACACAAACCAGAAACCACAAGGTCAGTTCTGCTGGACAGTCATTAACTCTTGTAAAGGACCCTATATGACGCACGACCTTTCAGGCAATGGTAAACAACATACAGCTTCCAGATGCCTTCCACCAAAACGCCACGCTTAACAAATATAAACAATGCTCATGATGAAACGCGCAAGTCTCACCGGAAATCAGTCACATGCCACCATAATCACCACCACCAGCCTGTCCCTTCTCAGCCCAATTATTATCCGAAGCAGCGTAACCTCTTCCTTCCGTGTCACTCGTGCTTGGCCACGCATCAATCACATTACCGTTCCCATTCCCATACCCAACAACACCACCCCCTCCATTCGCAGCAGGATACACCCCCTGCCCCAACCCGCCCGTCCTCCTTCGTTGCCGTTGCGGTATCTCACCACCACCACCTCCTGCCATCCCCATACCCTTCCCTTTCCTAGCACCATCACTTCCCTCCTCTCCCAAAAACACCCTCTCCCTCTCCCCCACCACCACCCTTCCATTAACCCTAAACATCTTCGCATTCGCATTGCTCAACGCCAACAATCCCGCCGTAGCCAACAACAAGACCATCATGATCATCGCCCCGACCTGCGTCATGTTGCCCGAAAAAGCAGCGACCATGTACACCAGCACTTTTGCCGTGGCTTCGAGGTAGCCCTCCACATGGGTCTTGGAGCGCAGCCAGGCGGTGGCGGTTATGGCGTAGAGATCTTCCGAGAGGCCACGGAGGCGGATGGAGCTGGTGGAGGGGTGGCTGGGGGAGTCGGAGCCGAGGGAGATGAGGAGGGAGGTTATGGGGTTGGGTTTGTGGTGATGGTTTGGAGATGGGGAGGGGGAAGATGGAGGGTGGAAGGGGTGGAAGGGGAATGGGAGAGAAGGAAGGAGACGGGGTTTGGAGCGTTGTTTGATTATGTAGATGTTGAGGATGCGGGAGAGCATTAGGGCTAGGAGGGAGGCTAGGGTCCACCCTTTTTGCATGTAAGTCTAGGGTCTGGACTACCGGTTATAGGACAAAGGAAGACTTACAATCCTGAAACAGAATAACTAGCACGATAGCCGCTATCGTCAACAGCGGACTGATCAGATATAAAACATGCGACAACCACCCCAGATCAGGTAAGTCATCCACCGCCCACACCGTGGCATGCAAGCCGCTCTCCGACCTCCTGATGCGTAACCGTTGTCTGATGGCCGGGATGGTGCCCACGTCCAAAGTGACCGTTTGTCCTGGGCGAGCAATCTTTTGGAGGTACAGTATCGTAGCGGCATTGTTGATACGGAAGGTCGTTGGTCTGGTCACACTGGCCCCGGGCCCGGGCCCAGTCCCGGCATCGACAACGGCAGTAGCGCTGGATCCGGACCACTTGGCGAGTTCATCGGCAGCTTGTTGGTAGTGTAGACCTGGAGCAAGGAGAAGGCTGTCGAGCCAACTGGAGCCGCCGGTGATGGCGGTGCGCTGGGCAACAGTGCTGAGGTCGGCGAGGGCCAGGAGACCGCCGGCGGAGAGCGAGACGCCGGGGATGGGGTTTGTGGTCCACTCCGGGAAGGAGACCATGGTCGTGTGCGGACCGGAGATATCGAGGTCTAGATCGGGGATCCCGGCTTCTGATCGTTTACTCCACCAAGTCGACGAGAGAGGCTCCAGAACGACTCAACCTTGGGCTTTCCGTTCCTGTAGGCTCCCGAGTGACTTGAAACTGAGCAGTCACTCCATCACTCGAAGGGAGCCGTGACAGGAGACACCCGTCTTTACGCCCGTGATAAACTGTTGCACGCAGGGGAAGGGGCGATAAAGAAAAATAAATACCGTCCCGATCGTGACACTTCACCGTACATTAGAGCGCAAGCCCATGACGCCAAACTGCCTAGCAAACCCTGCCAAGGCAGCCTATGAGGTGAAGAAGCGCCATCTTGGAGGCTCCGTTGGATGTTGTCTCCCTCCCTGGTTTAAGCTGAATGCCCACCCTTGTTCCTTTTGCATAAACCCACATGATAGCAGAGGTGTCCCTTAGTGTAACGGTACAAGTACCCGTGGACGTTTTTTCATAAGTCCGAGAAGAACTTTGGCAATCGCGAAGCTCACATTGTCAGTGAGTCTTGTGATAAAGAGAAACATTCACACCCTCTTCCAAGTTGACTGAAAAAGAGAGAGATGTTGGAGACTACCAAAGTGGATCCATAAATCACGGTGGGCCCAAGCTCCAAGCTGCATGCTGCCTGATCGACGACATCATTCGTCTAGCACCTGACCTGTGCCCACCGTGCCATGCGGGGGAGGCCCCACTGAACAGGGGGATGGCAGGCTCGCCAGGAAACGACCAACGACGGATGGCCATTTTAGAATCGTCACTCTTCAATTTTGTCTCGAAAAAGTCTCGAGCAAAGTCGATTGACGGCATTGCAGCAGTGCCAGACCACGCCATTATGGGCAACACGCACTGATGTGAACTGACCACCCGATATACCAGTAGAACACCTCAAACTCCTGAACCTCCTCCTCCGCCTCTCCTCCTGAGCTGTCGAGCTCTCGTCTCGCAATGCGCCCGCGACTCCTTCTCCCTCGCGGGGACCTGGCCCGGCCATGCTCCCCGGCGATACACTCGACGACCACCCGATTCTTTACACAGAGCGCATCACTTCGCGTGGGAATTCGAACAAGACCCCAACTCGGCTTCCTCAACGTACCCGTAACCACCCAACAATATCGTTACCTGACGACCGAGCGCAAGGCGAGACTCAAGTACGACATCAAGCAGGGAATCAAGATCACCTCATCCCTTTGGATCGCTGGCGCTTGCTGCTTCGCCATCGCATTCGCCCTTGTTGAAGAAACACTCGAAGCCCGATATCCGACACCACACGAATGGAGCATGCTAAGTCGAATTTTCTTCCGCGGAGCTTTCTGCGAGCGAGACCAGACCGACCCGTCCCGCATAACCGACTGGGTTCATGTGACGAATTGGATCAAGAGCGTGGTAGACCGGTTGGAGGATCCCAGCATTGACGGCAAGGGACTTAGGGATGCGCCGTCCGACAGACCAAAAGGCACCAAGGACATCAGCACCATGTCCGAGAACTGGAGACGGGGCTACTACGAAGCCATGATGTTGTACGCAAAGGCCGCCGAGAACGTCGAGAAGTGGGTAACCGACAAGACCCAAAACCTCACCGTCCCGAACGACTACGTAATCGGTCCCTCCAACCCCAACCCGCGCCCCTTCCCCAACGAGGACTACCGACCGCCGCAAGAGGACGACTGCGTGCCGACCTTCGAGTCCCCCAACGAGATCTACATGCGCATCCTCTCCACCGAAGGCCTCACCAACCGACAGCGCATGGAAGCCGGCCTGGCCTACGCCACCTGGCTCGAATTCAAGCAAATCACCGGACCCGCCAACATCATCCTCGAAAACGCCGTCGACCTCGCCGCCACCGAGCAAGCCTCCCTCATCGGCGGCCAGTCCCCGCTAGACACCAAAACTTACACCCTCATCGACACCGCCGGCCACCATCCCTCCTCCAACCTCCTCCAATCCCTCACCGCCCTCGCCACCTTCCGCGCCCGCAACGGCGACGTCTCCTCCGCCCTTCCCATGCTCGTCTCCATCCTCCAAGCGCGCAAAACCCTTCCGACTTCCGACCCGCGCCGCATCCCTCCCCTTCCACAGAAGAAACAGACCTGGGCCGGCGCCGCTCTAGCTCTCCTCTCGGAGCCGCCCTATCCGGACGCACCCGAGGATGGCACCCTCCCCCCTTTGCGCGACGCCAAGGAACGCTGCGAGGAGGCCGCCCTGAGTCTGCATATCGGCGAGATCATGTACACTGCCAAGTCTACCAACAACACCAACCCTTCAGAAACCTCTGCTCAGCATCATTCCCACCACCGCGAAGAAGGACTAGGCTGGACCCGCGAAGCAGTCGACATAGCCGAGGAACAACTCCGCGGTCTAAGCAACAAGCAGTCCGCCATGCCCGCCAGACACACATGCCGCGAGTGTTTGGCTGCGGGGCTGGAGAACTGGACGATGATGGTGTCGAGGCTGGCGAGGGAGGAGAAGGCGAGAAAGGAGGAGTTGGAAAGGAATCCGGACCTTCACAAGCCAAAGAAAACGAGCTGGTGGGGCTTCTGGGGACAAGGGGAACACAAACAGGAGGATTTGAATAGGTGGGCGGCGGAGGAGAAGGTTATTGCCGAGAGGCAGAGGAGGGCGGCGGATTTGTTGGACGAGTTGCCGACGGGTAATAGGGGGTTTTTGTCTTTTTTGCAGGCTTAAATGCTCGGATGGCTGGGAAGAATGTGGTGGATCTTGGGTGGGTGGATTTGGGGTGGCCTTGAAGCACCCTCTCCCAGGCACGGAAGAGAATGGTTGAGTAGTGAGTGTGGGACGGTTTGGTGAAATGCATCATGGAAAAGGAGCACAGGACAAAGGGGGGCAGAACACTACTTGCTTATTAGCGTTGTAGTATGTATGTTTGTATATTTAGTAGTTTGCTTCACGCATTGTACGTATTACAGAAGCTTACGTTGAGGGTTAAGGAGGATACAGCACTCCTTGCCGACATTCACGACTGTTGGATAAGTTCACAGCTAGGAGATTATCGATGTGATTCATGATATCTATCGACTTGAAATTTCCGAAAACACCTCAGGCTAGTTGTGAAACAGCACCGGATGGCCTTGACTAAACCACTCTAGACTAACTCTAGAAATATCGGAAATCCTGGAGAGCTCAAGATCACGTCCCCGTCTGTTTGACTCGAAGATTGGCCTCTTCCTTTCACTATTTGCAGACTATTATGTGTAGGAGATCGCGCCGACATGGATGGGAGGAGGGCACTCCAAGCCTAGATGCACTTCCCGTTCCGTACCTGTGTGATCATCCCCGTCTCACTTATCCTCGTAACTGGGAAGATAGCACCCACCCCAACCCTTTGACCGAGTCGGTCCTACGCGAGAAACCACCAGCCTTGGTTTCCTAGGATTTCTCTTAGATCTCCTCCTCAGAGTCAGCATTGCCATCCGCCATCCTTTCTCTCTTGGACATCTCCTTGGCCAACTCCTCGTCGATACCCTCGGGTTCATCCTTAGAAGGAGGCTGGACGTCTCTCTGAACTCTGACTTTGACCTTCTTGGCCACCTGTTCATCATCGTCCCTTTTGTCTCCGTCTTCCTTGTGCTTCTCCTTCAACTCCTCAGTCTCCTCCTTGGACTCATCGTCGTCCTTATCCCATCCTGGCCATTTACCGTCATCCTCCTCTTCCTCGGGGAAGATGTGAACCCTCTCATTGACGTAATCCTTATCCATAGCGACCTCCTGCAGCCACTTCAGAACTGCTGAGCCGGCCTCGATGAGCACGAGCTCCATGATGAAGGCGTCGGGGCCGACACTGTAGGTAGGGCAGCCGTAGCCGACGTAGCCGGTGACGGCGCGGCTACCGCCATCCGGGCCGGCGATAAGGGTGTCGAGGGGATCCTGGTTCATGATGTAGGCGCGTCCACGCTGTTTGTAAGGGTACTTGTTAGCTGGGTGATTGCTACTTGATCGTGGGCTTGGAAGGAGAAGAACAACTTACCTGATCCACGAACTTTTTGAAGCCCTGGCAGTTTGCCTCACGCATATCGTAAAAGCCACCCAGCACAACGAGAGCGTTCAGCCTGTGTCCGATCTTCGCCCAGACATCGTCATTGTCGAGGTACTGCTCCACCTCATCCGCCATGTCACCGAGCGCGATGACATCGATCTTGGCCTTCTCACTAACGAACTGCGGCACCACCTTCTCAAAGATATACTTGACATGCTCCGTCGGATTGGCATTCTCCGGAATGGTATTCCTCTCCGGATCGTGGTGCCAACCCCAGTGAACCAGACTGCTACCCGGAATCTGGTGACGAGCAAACTCACTCAGCCCTTTCTTCCCCTCAGGCCACCACCAGAGGTTGCCAGGGTTGGCGAGGATGATGCCGGGCGCAGCGTCGTCGGTGGCGGAAGACTTCTGCTGCTTGAGAGCCTTGACCATGTTCATCATCGAGCCCTTGTTGAGACCGCCCAATCCGCTGGCCACACGGTGCGCCAGAATGCCAAAGTCCTGGCCGGACTGGCCGAAGATGATCACGACGCGCGACTTGGTGGAGAGATCCTCGCTGAGACGGATCTTGACATGACGCTCATCCTCGCTGGCAACGCCGAGCGGGAGGAGGGCCTTCTTCAGGCCTTCGGCTTCGAGGCGTGAGTCGATGATCTGTTTGACTACCTCTGTTGGATTTCGATATTTTTGTCAGTATCAGCTCAGATGGTTGTCAGAAATGGAGCGTTCATAACATACCGTTGAAGGCGAAGCGCTGACAGTCGTTGTACCTCACGTTCTTGGTCGAGAAGTACTTGAAGTAGAAGTCGGGGTCTTGCCAGTAGCGAACTTCATCTTCCTCGTTGATGAAGTATCTATGCGCACACGATATGTTAGAATGATCGTCCTGTTGAGGATAACTTGGTTGATATCACGAACCCGAGCTCCTTGAGGTCTGGGGTGAACTTTGGTTCAGCTGGAAGGCCTGACCAACGGCGACGAAACATCTTTTCTGCTTGGAGGTCGTTGAGTGTCCTGGTTGGGTTGCCGTTGATCAAGTTGGTTGGTTGTAAGCGTGAGGAAGGAAAGAACGTGAACCGCGTCGAGGGGTATTTGAATCCTCGTTACTTGGAGGTTCGCGAAGAAACTCGAAGGCTGCCGAACCGGTCTGAAGATGAGACGGAAGGAGCCCAACAGTTGTTCTTTCATTCACAGGGAAGAGCGAGAATGGCGAGATTGGAGAACGGGATGGGATGATACTAACGAGTGAAAATGAGAAGGTAAACACTCAACTGCTTCAGATGGATGGTTAAACTGCTGTGACATTGTAGCTGTAAGATCGATAGATGTCGACATGCGGTACTGGTTCCAGTTCTCATCCAGACCTGCCTCATCCCATCACCGATATAAGACGTGCTTGACAAACATGACCATGTTAACAGGCAACCAAACTCAAGCTGACAGCCGCTCCAACGAGGAAGTGTTTTCTTGACAAAATCAAGGTTGCGCAAACGTGAGCAATCGCCGGTTATGAGAACTGACGGAACGAATGGATAACACGAGACTTCAACGAACATCAGAGATCGAAGGCGTGGTGAATGAAGTCGTCGAACATACGAAGTGTTGGTGGTGGACGTGGTTGTCATGCGAACAGCACAGCACGCATCAACTTCCGCGTCTCGTCGACAGCGTCGTCTGTGTGGTTAAGACCAACGCCTCTCATTTCGCAAAGCCAACATTCTGCTACCAGAGTACGCGCCAAAAGCACCATCCAAAAAACCAAGCCAGAAACGACAACCTTCTTCCTCACACCCCAAGCACGTAGCCCAGGGTTGTAACGAAAAAGTCGTGAGCACAAACAAGTAGTAGTTCGCGTCGCCTGGAGGCAGTGTGATACCAGGGACACAGTGGTCAGTATCCATAGGCAAGCCCAGAGGGATACCGACCGAGTTGCAAAAATTAGAATAATCACGATTCTACTCCGTAGAGCAGTTTCAGAGATTAAACTGAAAAGAACAGATACTACACTTGATCTAAGCCAAAAGGCAAAGAGAGCTAAAGAAGAAAAAGAGAAAAAAAACCAGATAAAAATTGGGAGGGGGGGACGGTGTTAAATAGGTGTTTAGGAGTGGCCTGTGCACGAGTGCAAGCTGGAGAATTTGGGTGGAGCCCTGCTGGAGAGTGGCAGTCAGTTGGTTTGCGACTGGCAGACCTGTCAATGCTCATTGCCAACCTGCGAGAAAAATGACACCGCCCGGCAGCATTCTGCGGTTTCGCGCGCGGCGGGCTGGACGGCAAGCGCACAGGCCACTGGCCCGCCGTGGGGCGCCGGGAGAGTGACTGCGGCTCGCTAGGGCGACGACGCCGGAAGGAAAGCAACCGCCTGTGATAGTATCGAATTCGCGCCTCGATCGGTATCGACGTCGTCTACATCCGACCCAACCCGCCAGTCCACCTCACCACCAAAACCGCCAAAATGTCCATGTTCCGTGCCAAGAAGCTCGACCTCGGGTGCTTCACCAACGTCCGGGTCCTTCGTGATCACTCCAAGCGCAAGGCCTTTTTGGAGGCCGAGCCGGAGAGGTACCTACATCTCCATCCCTCGCTCCTCTTGCTCGCGACTTCGACGACAACAGATGATCTAACGACTCCTCTGTATTAGACAAGCCCTGCGCTACGCCATCCGCAACACCACCCTCCCTGCCCGTACCAGGGCCGTCGCCCAGCTCCAGCTCACCCAAATGCACGCCTACACCAGGCCGACGCAGATCCGGAACCGCTGTATCCTCGGTGGAAAGAGTCGAGGTATCTTGAGGGACTTCAAGATGACAAGAGTATGTCCGCTATCGAACGTCCTAAACGGAGGGGTGATGGGCTACGAGTTGAGCTCCAGATTGGAATGGGGGAAACCTTGCAGAGGCACGCGGCTTGCTAACATTGTTGGATCGCAAACAGTACAATTTCCGTATGAACGCCCTGATGGGTAACATTCCGGGTGTCAAGAAGGCCTCTTGGTAAAAGAGAGCATGGCTACAAGGAACCCAGAGGTTTGTTGTGGTGGAGATGGTATCGGTACGCCCAGAGGCGAATAAACTCTTTTCAAAACCCAGATGGGCTCGGGTTCGTCGTGTTGGTCAGAAAGTGCTACGCAGGGTTGAGAGACACCCGTGTGAGTGACCACACGATGAAGAGTGCTTCAAAGCTTTTTAGTGGGCAGAGGAGTTTGTATGATGCATCCTCCTGGACTGGGGATCTCTCTCCCGATGCCCGCTGTGTACTACTGTTGTTACAATATTATACTCAGACACAGCAAATGAATGAATGTCTTTTTCAAGTTAACCGAAAGAACGATTCTCCCAAACGCCAAAGCGCATGCGACCCCCAAGGTGCCAAATAACCAATCCGTCATGAGTCTATATGTTATTATACCCGCCATGGGATAGCTGTGAAAGCGCTAAATCCCAATTATAAATGTTGAAACACGCTCCAGAAACGACATCTAACACAAGCTGCCTTAAGCGGACTTGGCGCTAGTCGCCTCCTCGGCGGCAACCGCCTGACCGAGGGCCTCAGAGACAGCCTTCTCGCCGGAACGCTTCCTCAAGACGTTCTCGATGAAAGCCTCACCAGCCTTGTACGAGGAACGAACCAAAGGACCGCTGGCGCAGTACAGGAAGCCCATGTCAAGAGCACGCTGCCTCCAGAGCTCGAACTCATCGGGAGTGATGTACTTCTCCACCGCGAGATGTCTCTTGGTTGGGCGCATGTACTGTCCGAAGGTAACGACATCAACATCGACCTTCCTCAGTTCTACAGAGCAACATTGTGGTTAGCATTGATCAAATGGGCAAGCGCAACTGATATGACTCACCCCTCAAAGCGTCCCAAAGCTCCTCCTCGGTCTCACCCAGACCAAGCATGATACTGGTCTTGGTGATAATGCCTTCCTTGCCCCGGACCTTCTTGACGTGTTCCAACACCTTCAAACTTTGACGAAATGTAGCACGGCGATCACGCACGTAAGGCGTCAAGTTCTCGACAGTCTCAACGTTATGCGCATACACATCCAGTCCACTCTCCGCCACAATCTTGACCATGTCCAAGTCACCCATAAAGTCACCGGTCAGAGCCTCAACGAGCAGAGTGGGCTTCTTCTGTTTGATCCGGCGAATCGTTTCCGCAAAGTGCCTGGCACCACCATCGGCCAGATCGTCACGGTCGACACTCGTCAGCACAACATAACCGAGACCCCAGCGGGCCAGAGCCTCAGCGGTGTTCTCGGGCTCGTGGGGATCCAGCGGGGGCGGCTTGCGGCTTGTCTTGACGCTGCAGAAGCGGCAGCCACGGGTGCAGGTGTCGCCCATGAGCATGATGGTGGCCGTCGCGGCGGCCTTGTTGGAGCCGCCCCAGCACTCGCCAATGTTGGGACATCTAGCCTCCTCGCATACTGTGTGAAGGTTGAGACCGCGCAGGTCGGCCTTGATCTTGGCAAATTCGGGGTTCGCGCCGGCACTCGGGATGGGCGTCTTGAGCCATTCGGGCAAGCGGGTGATGGTACGCTTCTTGCCGGCGGGTCCGACTTGGGCTGTGCGCAGGGTGTAGGCTTCGCTGGGTGCGAGAGGAGCAGCTGACGATTGGTTTGCGATGAAGTCGTCGAGGGAAGCGAGAGTGGTGTCCTTGAAGTAGGTCGGGCGCGGCTTAGTTGCGGGCGCGGATGCGGATGCGGCTGGCGATGACTCTTGCGATGTCGGCTGGCTGGCTGGAGCAGATGGGATGGTGGCGTATGACCGAGTCGACAGGGCGGCGGCGCGCGCAAAAGACCTCCGCAAAGGCGCCTGGAGACGCTGGATCGGGGCCGGTGAAGCCATGATGTACTATGATTCTTGGTGTTGAGCTTGCCGGAACCCTACCAGTCTTGAACTGCTGCAAACAAGCCGGGGGAGCTTGGGTGGCGGATGCGGATGATGGTGGATGACTGGGGGAGCAATGGAGACAAAAAGTTCGGCCCCCCCGGTGCACCGGCGCTTTGGAGCCTTTGGAGATTTTTAGTGGCCCACGCCGCCCATGTCCGGTTACGTAACGCCGATCATACCCGCCAGCTGCCGGGGCGCATGAGAAGGGGCACCGCGCTTGAACCGGCAAGACCGGGACCCCCATTCCTTGTGCTGGCGGCCATGACTCCATTTTGTGAACCCTTTTGAGTCCAGCAGTTCACCCCACGCACGTTCACCCCATGTTGTTTCTCGTGGAAGTCTGGAAGCAGCCGACTGACTGACTTGCAGATAATCTTCCCGATTTGTTTCAACATCTTCTAACACTAAACTGGGGGGTAGTGGTAAGGACGACTTGTATCACTATCTGTTTCCGCAAAAACACCGTCGAATCTGTATCTGGTTGACGGCATTCGCTTCGGCCAACAGCCCCGTCCCGGTCATTCGTCAAGTGGACCGGAGACTGGAGAGAAATGCCGTAACATCCGCATGCCGTGGATGCCTTTCCCGATGATGTCGGGCATCTTCGACCGTTGAGAATGAGGGGCCAGGTACGAGATATGTAATATCGTGAGGAATGTATATCTGATGGTCGATGAAACGAAGCTGCAACACAACCGACCCGACAAAGGAGAAGATGCCGTGCCAATGCGGTTAGGTGTAAACTCTACCCAGAGTCGGTGAAGTGTCGTAGTCAGGAGAACTCAGGGGAAAGACAGGCTCTTCACCGTGATATCGCCTAGCGAGCTCAACTTTACTTGACTCTCAGGTAGGTCTATGGACCGTAAGCCGATAGAAAGTCGAGTTTCTTCGAGATCTTTCCTGTGCATGTTGAAAATACCAAATTCGTAGCTAGTGCGGTTTCACGTGCGACTCTTCATGGACGAATAACCGACTTCTCACTGCACCCTAAACTTGGTGTGTTTATCCAGCACGTGACCCTGGGACCCATATAAAGGCTCAACCCGCAGAACATTCGTTTTAATTAGATTTATTTACAATACATCTACTTTTAGTACTTAATACTTTAACTCTTAATCTTACTACTTTAGTATATTTTATACCTTGTCTTTATGATTCAATTTATATTATTTTCAGAAATCGTACCCGGAAACTTTATTAATTAATTACTATTATTAAACCGTTAGTCATTTATTAGCTTCAAAATCTCGTTATCGAAAACCGCTACATTCAATACCATCGAAAGCCTTCGTAAACTACCCCGCGCTCGTACTTTATATTATCGGCCACGTCGGATTTCGTTATCAAATTTTAATTCCAGAATAATCTAACTTATTTATTCTAATTGAAGGTTGAAAATATTACTCCTACTTTAATACTAAATTACTTTAGAAGGGTTATATTAATATTAACTTTATTTTAAAATTGAAATTTATAATTAATATACTATTCCTACCTAATTATAATAATCTCTTTAATACACCCAAATTATTATATTTCCGCTACTAATTATAAAAAATTATTAATACGACTATTCTTCCCTAGTACTTATAACTAAATTAATAAATACGAATTACTTTTACTCCAATACGACTTTTAGAGGAAGAAGTATACTACTACTCCTACTTATATCCGGTTAATTATTAATAAGAATATATATTAATTATTTTATTTACGACTTTAGAAAGGAAAGTAGTAAATTTATTAATAGTAAATATATACTTTACTTATTATATTATAAATTCTAAATTCTAAATATTCCTACAAATATTTAAATAATTATCCCCCAATGGTTTTTATCTTTTTATTATCAATTTTTTAAATATTAATAATTAAAATTGAATTTTTTAATACTATTTTTAATTATATTTTATTTTACTTCTCTTTTACTTCTACTTTTAAATAATATATTATTATACCAATACTTTTCTCTCTTTCTTTAATTTATATCGTAAAATTCTATATACACTCCTATAAACGATTATTTATTACTAAAGTCTACTCTATTATTTAATAAATCTAACTTTATCCTAACTCACGCCTACCTACTCTCTTCAAACCGTTTAAATATTATTACAATTCGATTATCCCTTCTTTGCCTAACTAACTATCAATTTCGGTTAAATAAATTAATTAAATTAGGAGACCTATTTCTAATTCGACTACTACCAATATTTCCTTTTACTATATTATTTCGACTACTATTAATATTCCCTTTTATTATACTATTCCGACCTCTATTAATACCCTTACTTATACACTACTTACTATCCCCCTTATTAATTAAAATGATTATTCTAATAATACTTCAACCTCAACACTTCCCGGACTTATTTATGGCGAGAAAGTTCGATAGTAAAGAATTAACCTCCAAGTAGTTTTACCGTATCTATTAAGAATTTATTTGTATAGGATATATTAGTACTACTATACTTATTAATTAAATTTTAATAATTATTAGTATATTTTATATTAATAAAGTAATAATTTTTATTAATAGTAATTAGTAACTTATACCTATTTTTAAGCGAGCTAATTCTAAGACTACTACTAACAAAAATCGCTCAATTATAGAGAATATACTAAAATACTATTTTACTGCTAAATTAACCAACTTTTTAATATAATTTACTTATACCGACATATACGAATTTAAATAAGATTATAACGAACCTTTTATATTATATTATTCCCGTTATTTCAATTTCCTTACTTCTATAAATAAATATAATAATAATAACCCTACTTAATCCCTCGAATTATTCGAAGCTTATATTCTTCACGATATTATTAACTATTTTCTTTTTACATTCGTTAAATCTAATTTAAAATAAAAGGTTATTAAGAGGGGGCTTCTTATATATTTAATTTAGTAGAATATTCAGAAAAGGTTAAAACTTACTCCTATATTCTTAAATAAAAATAATAAATTCGAAATTAAACTATATAGAAATCTAGGATTATAATATTCGAATATTTAATTACTAAAATTATAAGTATTATTATTAAAGCCGTATTAATTCGGAATGTCCTAAATATTATTAATATATTAGTACCCTTTTAGAA